GGTGATGGAGAGAAAGGTTTCTAAAAAGTCAATTAAAAGCTGTTGATGATACATTTTGAGTTTCTGTTGTTAAAGTACACAAAGCTGACCCCACAGCACTGTAGACCACTGTGATAAACTGAGGCCTGTGTATATTTTTTRCTTGTTTATCACTCAGAGGTTAATTCAAAACTAAACATTAAAATTCTTGAGATTCCTACAAGATTTATAGAAACCAAACACTTCTGATTAAAAAAAACAGGACAGAACACACACAAAATCATCCATCATCACATTTAAACAGGGAGMGGAACAGGACCTGTCCAGTTTAGTAAAGAAGACCTGTTCATATCGACCATTACTGATTTATGACAGGAATAAAACACAAGAATGTTCAAGTGGGTGAATATTTTTATAAGTACAGTTTACATTTACTAAAATTGTTGTGATGATTTTTAACATCTTGGTTTCTTGCCTGTGGTTTTCCATGATTACTCAATCCTGAGTCTGTTTCCTGTTAGAACTTTTGTTTGAATAAAAAAAAGTTTTTTTTCTTTTTGTTTTGCTTTTTCCATCAGATTATTGGCTGAGTTCTTATTGGCCAGCTGCTGTGACACCTCGGCTTCTTCAGCAGATATAAGCAGTGAAGTCTGACAGACTGAAGATAAGCAGGAGTTTCTGAAGTGATTTCAGCTCCAGTTTCTGTGACTTCAGTCAGGTGAGACATGAACACAAATATAATTTTTTTTGACTCACAGCTGTTCTGAACATATGTTATTATTATTTGTTGAATTCATGCAGCTCAGAGGAGATCCCAAACTGACTCTTCACTTCAACATAACTGTGATGATGGTGAGTTKACTTTTTTCACCTGCATGTACTCAGGAAAAAGTGTTTACTAATTTTATTTCAATTTGAAACAATGAAGTCTACTTAATTAATTGCCAATTTTATCATGATCTTTAATATCATGCACAAACATTTATAGTCAGAGTGATGCACAAGTCTCAAATTTTAAAGAAAAATTTGCTATTTAGTATTTTGTGCAAGATTTTACATCATTTATATGTGATAACTTCTCACTGTTTCTTCAGTGAGCCTAATCAACTCATCTGTAGRATAAAGGTTTTAATGAAACACTGAGTTTTTTTCTTTAGAATGCTTTATCTTACTCTAATTCACATACAATAAAACAAATTAATAAATTATATATCTAACAACTGAAAACAATAAATTTATTTTAATTACTAGGAGAGTCTCAGGGGAAGTCTTGCTTTGTTACTTTAAGAAGGAAAATATTGCTTATCTAAAGATTTTACATCTATCGATCCATCCAAACATCTTTTGGCCTGACCATTTTTTGTCCTCTTTTCCTGTTTAATAAGATTTTTTTTTTAAACAGTGCAAACCTTATTCTGAATCACCAACCAATAAGACTGGTTTAAAATAGATTATGGTGTCACAGTAAAGTTAACCTATAGCCTTTTGGATATAAAATGCCATTTTTGAAGTCAAGAAAAGAAGATTAGCAATCTGATTTTTATCAGTTCAAATGCCACCATAGTGAAAACATTTTAAAGCATCATGAAGTTACTCAACAGTCAGAAACAATAAATGTGCTGTCCAAACGTAACGTCTTCTGTTTCAGCTGTTACCAGTCTTCCTCCTCTTGGCTCCTGTGTTAATCAGCTGTGAAGAAATCAATGGGCCAGCTGACTGCAGCGACATCTACAAGCAAAATCAGATTTGGCACAATGGAGTCTACTCCATCTATCCCATCAGATCCACAACCCGGTGTGCTGTTGAGGTACATTTTATCCTGTGTGGGCCAGGGGTGTGACTGTGGGTGGGCCTGGCAGAGATCACTTTATGCACAGGACTTTCAAGTGGAAAGGCCCACATTGGTCTTGGGTTTGCTTTTGGGACTTCACATTTGTTTCCAACTCTGACTGTACGTTACAGAATAAGCTGTAGATAGTAGGTAGGACACACACACACACACACACACACACACTTCTTGACAAACTGAAAACTAACTTGTTTAAATGAACTTTCAGGCACTAGGACCATGTGGTCACCTCACTCAACCATCCTCCACTTCCTTCATGCATCTTTTTTTCATGCAGCTATGTGCTGACTGAGCCAGGCACACCACAACAAAATCAGTTTTGAGTTCACACATTGATTTGTTGACTATAAAGCTGTGAGAATTAAGTTTTTAATTTCTTGTTCAGAAATTAGTTTAAAAAAATACTAACAATGTTAGCCTGTTCTGAGTAATTAAAAGATCACTTTAAAAAGAAATTTTCATGTTTTTGTACAAATGTTTTTTATCCTAGGGTAGCTCAGTGGTCAAAGCCATAATCTTGTCATCCTGAGGCTGCAGGCTCAAACACAGAAGGTGTCAGGAGGGACATCCAGTCTGAGACAATAGCAAAATCGTTTGTGCAAAGTTTGCTTGCTGTGTTGACCCCTGAAGAAGGGAGCAGCAAAAGAAAACTTTTCCTTATCAGTATTTTGACATAAGGAATCTTTGAAAAAATTAATATTTCTTTAAATATTCAAAATTTTGAAGAACCTTAATCAGCTTTTTTGTTAGAATTTTTTGGCCCCTGGTGAAATTGAGTTGTACCCTATGATGTAGAAAGTCACTTAGCTTTACTAAGAAACTAAGGTCATGTTTATGTGAAGGCTTAGCAGACATGAGATGCAACACAAACAAAATAAAAATTAAAAAACCCTGTAAATAAATACTTGCACTGGTTTTGCTAAACAAATTAAGGGCCCGCAAGCCAAATGTGGCCCTCCACAGCACTTTATTTGACCCACAAGAACTTCAAAGATGTATTAATATCTTAATATAAGAATTTGCTAATTTAAAGCCAGCACTGATCATAAATCTCCTGTAATGCATGTTTATTATTTTACCCATGAAATGACACCATCCCACCACTAGGTGGAGGTGCACATGTGTTCAAAAGTAGCCAGTAACAAGTGAAAGTCACCGAGTAAAATGTCCCTGTTGCTGCAGATCAGTTGTACTGGTCATACATTTAAACTGGAAAGTGGGACTTCCCTGTTGGAACATGGGAGAGTTCACAATTCAAGATGTCAGCGACTCACCACAACTCGACAGCGAGTCAGTCGTACACGTAGTACTTTTCAGTGTTTAAAAGAGAATGTGTTTAAACAGTTTTTGCAGGAAATACCACATAGAGCTCAGTTATTGTTTGTTAGCAGTTCTCAAACATAGTAATGAGATGTAAAACATTAAGTTAATTACAACTGGMCCTTGGTGGACAACCATAAAGCTCATGTGGCCCTTGCTGAAAATTACTTTGACAAGAGATACATTCCATGCCCTGACAGCATGGTAGGCGTTGGTCCAAACTGTTTTTACAGTTTTTAGTTCAGTATCCGTAGCCTGGCCCTTGCTTTCCTACGCAGTTCCGCTCAATTCTAAAGTGAAGAACAAGGGTCTKGTTTTTACCAGGCTACAGTTTCTGTGACTCACCCAAAAGAAAAACGTTGACTTGTTTTAACTGCTCCTCAGAGTACATAATGGTGTTCTGTGATGGCAAAAAGTTCTCAAAGAACCTGTGTTCTACATTCTTGTGCCCAGATAGTCTTATCAAGCACATTAAAGAGTTACTACATCTGGATATTCCTGTAGCTGCATCACACACTGTTTTTCAGCAAAGCCAGTGCAAAATAAACTAGTAAAAATAAGAAGACTATTGGACTTAACATTTTGTTGAAGCACCTTTTCTGAGGTCTGAACAGGCTCGTGAAAAAAAAAAATCATGCAGGATAGTTGCCAGTCAGGCGAGGTTTTTTTTTTTTTTTTTTTTTTTTTTTTTTGAAATTCCTTTTGATAAAAATCTTGCTTCAACTCATTAATTCAGCATCTTGTTTCATCATGTGTCATGAGCTGGAAGTCTCATTACTAATGTTTGGGTTTTGATGTTGTAATGCTTTTCCTGTATCTCAAGTGGTTTCAGGTGTTCCAATGGGGTTTGTTTGTAATAAATACTAAAAACTCAGTACTTTAGAGTTGATAGAGTCGAACCAGTCTACTATTGAATAATTTAAAGACAGTTTTTCACAAGTAGGTAACAGGGACAATGTACCGTATAAATAAAAACTTTTTCCCACATATTTTCTGAGCAGTGTTAAATACTGTGGCCCGCTGGCCCAGTCACTTTCTATCAGGCCTACGTGTTGATTCATTGTTGGGGGCACAAGCTCAACCTGATATCATTGTGGCACCAATTCTGAAACAAATGATATTATTCTAAACTGAGATGCATAGTAATCCATTCATTTTATTCACCTGCTTTCTCAATCAGACACTTTTGAACATTACCTTTTAATACCATAAGCCTGAATCACTGTAACTGAGGTGTTTGTTGGCAGGTGTACTGTGACATGGAAACAGCAGGAGGACGCTGGACGGTGAGTTTTCAACCTAAATTTAACCTAACCCCTTAACAGTTGGCCTGAAATTCCTTAAAAGCCTTTTGACATTTTCTTTTTTAGGTGTTGTGCTAAAGGTAAGAACCAGAGGAAGTCATGTGACACCCTGGTTTTCAAAAATTCAGACCCTAGTAGCATTTGGAAATGTCTGAAAATGTTTAAATGGCAAATGGTCTGAAATTATATAGTGCTTTTTCAGGCCCAGTCGGACACCAAAGCGCTTTATAGACATTCACACACACATTCACACAGATGGGGTAAGCTACATTGTAGCCACAGCTGCCCTGGGGCACATTGACAGAGGCAAGCCTGCCATGCACTGGCACCACTGGACCCTCTGACCACCGTCAGTAGGCCGGGCAGGTGAAGTGTCTTGCCCAAGGACACAACAACTGGAGGATCAAACCATCAACTCTTAGGTTGCAGAATGAATCCTCTAACCACTCTGACACAGCCGTAGAAACCAAAATGTTTTTGCCCACCAGTGGAACAAAAAGTTCAAGTAAAATCTTGGCTCTGTGTTCTGTGAGGTTCTGTTTATAAGGTACCAAAGGTAGAACCTTGGTTCTCTGTGTGTCTTACACCTGCTGTCATAGTACACAAGATTAAATGCAAGTTTCCATACTGCTGACATTATCATGTACATTAGATGAAATTACACAGAGATGATTTCAACTATTGTGCAGCTTGATATGTTTCATGTAAGACACAAAGGCATTTTGAAACCAAAGACATCAAAACTTCAACAAAATTAAAACAAACAGCAGAAAAAAATACACCAAGTTTTGATTGAAAACATCAGAACAGAACTGGAAGCTCCTGATCGATCTCTTCTAAAACTGAAACCTGCGTGTTTGCAGGTCTTCCAGAGGCGGATGGATGGCTCGGTGAACTTCTACAGGCCTTATGATCAATACAAAACAGGCTTTGGAAATGCTGCTGGAGAGTACTGGCTTGGTGAGACAAAAGCACAAGCCACCAGTCTGTAACCTCACATGGATTAATCGAGATTTTATGCAGAAGTTTTATTCATTTTTGTTTGTGTCCATCTTTCATGGCAACCAGTCTTTTTCTCTGCCTGCAGTGTTGTTTGTGTCGGTGTATTACTGTCACTTGCAGGTCAGCGGAGCAATGATAAAACTATACTAGAGCTTTGGTTGCATTACTATTTAAAATACCTATAGATGGAGCAGGTTTGACAGGAGTTAGATAATTAGATAATCACTGAAGGAGACATTTGATGTCTGTGCAGGTCTCGAGAACATCCACCAGCTGACGAGCCGTCAAAACTATGAGCTGCTGGTCAACGTGGAGGACTTTGAAGGAAATGCAAAATTTGCTTTTTACTCTTTATTTAAAGTTGATACTGAGTTTGAGGGTTACCGTCTGCATGTGACTGGATTCAACAGTAGCGGTGGGGCCGGTGAGTTACACAATTATTCCTGTTTTATGAAGACTTCAAACCAGCTTTCTGCTTCTTAGGTGAATTTGCCAACATCTTTTGCTCCTGCTGGTCTGTGAACTAAACACAAAATGTCAAAGAATCATCAATCATGTCAACACAATGACAAAGCCAGGCCTAATTTAAGAGGTTAATGACAACTACAGCAATGTTTTTATATGTTTCCTTGTTAAAGATTTGGCGTGTGTGATGTCATCATCAGTGCTTCATTAAGTAGAAACCTGTCGTGGTCTCATTTTGTTTCAGAGCAGTATAACTAACTGTCTTAAAACACTCTTTGGATTTTCAACTCAGATTTTTTTCTTCTGGATTGTCATTTCTTGCTGTGTGCTGTTTTCTCTGCAGGAGATTCCCTTTATCATCACAATGGAAGAAAATTCTCCACCTTCGACAAAGATCAGGACGACTGGCCGAACAATTGTGCCAGATCTTTCCTTGGTGCGTTTTGGTATGGCAACTGTCACGATACAAACCCTAACGGGATTTATCAGTGGGGGGCTGATAGAACTCACTACGCTACTGGAGTGACTTGGGACAAGTGGAAGGATGAGTACTACTCTCTGAAGGGCATTAGCATGAAGATTCGTCCCGTTCAGTAAAGCTGCAGAACGGCACATTCTATTTTTCATTTATTCAAACATAATCTGTCAAATTAAAACACAAATTGGAAATTCACAATATGAATTTCAGTTTGAATAGAATCTATATAACTGTCTTTTTCTTTGCAAATTCTGCTACTTTTTGACAATAAAGGACAAGCAAACAGTTGCTGTAATTTGATGTGTTCATTTTGTATCTTTCTATCTGATTATTTTGATAAAAAATAAACTAAATTCTGTTTTTATACAGAATTTATCACAGCTGTAAAGTCCCACTGCAACTCTAATTTTTTTGCCCATTGCCATGATCACAGATACAGTGGGCATCATTGAATTTTCTGTATGCGTGTTTGTTTGCATCTCTATTAGCAGTTGTATGGCGTGTTTGTAGAGCGTAGTGTTGGTACGTGCTTTTTGTTTTGTATTTACTGTCATAACAAAAGGTTTGGACTAAGTTTGCATGTAATTGTAACAAAAACGGGACTTTCGTTCCTCGCTTCTGCTTTGCGTCACCTTCTGAGTGGATTATGTGAGCACTGAGTGTGAGGATCTGTTGTCTTATGTTTGTGCTCTGTTCCCCTCTGGTGTTCCTCCTGTGTTTTACATTCTCATCTCAGTCCTCAGTCTGCCAGTCCCTTCCTGATTATTCTCTCACASCTGCCTGCACTTTGCAATCACRCACTTGTTTCCACTTTTCACTTTACTCTGCTTCTATTTAACCGATCCTTCTCTTCCACTTCCTCGTCCAGTCATTGTTGGTTTTCTKYCCTGGTTTTGCCTTGGGCTTACTTATGTCTACTAGTTTACTGCTTTTGTCACCACGCCAGCCTTTAATTTAAAATAAAAACATTTTATTCCCTCATTGGATCTGCCTGCCTGCATCATGAGTCCATCCTCGCCTACAAAACCCGATACCAATGGCGTCTTCAATAAAGTCGTAATCTCCTGCTTTAACTTCTCACAGCCTGCTGGCTATAAGACTTAAATTTAAGTAAGGTTTTTGAAAAAATCCACAAGATGTCCCCATACGCATTGAAAACTTGAAAACTAGAAAAATGTCCAGGTAATTTATGGACAATGTGCAACTTGACATGTCAGCGGTCTATCTTTGTTCTGCTGCAACATTCTGTGACAAAAATATATTTAGGCCACTTTAATAGAAATAAAGATTTCATCACAGATTTTAAAAAATGGATTGAATGAATGAATTGAAAGAATAAATTAGGATTGTGAAAAAAATCCATCTGAACTGTCATCCTGTTCCTATTTATTTATTTATTTTATGTTTTGTTTTGCTTTGTTTGTTTGAGATGAAATCCTGCTACAGAGGCTTTTTTTTTCCCTTTTGGACTCTTTCTCCAAATGATGCAACCTTCATTAAGATGATTGGGTGACAAAATCTGTGTGTTTCTCTGTGATCGTTAGGGCAGTAAAAATGAGCGTTTACATCTCTGCACCTGTCAGTCACCTCTGCTCACCTGAGCGCTGGACAGCCGCAGCGGACGGTGCTGCTGATGCAAGATTTGGTTGACAAATTATTATACTCTTTTTATTAAGTCAACTTTAAAGTATCACATCAACATTCAAGATAACTGCATCAAAAAAGTTGGCAAAAAAACAAAAATYAAACTAATAAAATGGTTGCTTTTAATAGGGCAGTCCTCAACACTGCTGCACCTGTTATTCTTTGTGCACGAAGTCTTAGTAAATCACAAGCAACATGGCTCCCTTTACTACAGGCTATTTTTAAATTTGTGCGTGGTCTTTAGTAATGGTTATCTGCTGTCTTGATAAATTGCGCCCTTAATCTTTCAGCACATCAGCATCAAATTATCAGTAGCAGGACTTTGAAATGATTGCACAAACAACTATATGATAAGCTGAAGCTGTACTGCAATTAGTAGCTGCACTGACCGATTTAGTCGTCGCATAAGATGGATGGAAGCATTTTACACAAACAGTGACCCAAAAGTCATTGCAGAAAACACATTGATCTGCACGGGCTCTCCACAATAGGTGTGAAGAAAATGATGAGGAAATGAAGAAAAAAAATCAGGAACGAAAAATGGACGTCATGTAAGATTCTGACTCTTTTTCTTGTAATATTTCAACTTTTTCCTCATAATATTGTCACTTCATTCTAGTAATTAATTAAAAACAACAAATATTGTGTGGCTCTAATATAGTAATTTCCAGTGCGAGTTGTTCTTTTTTGTTTTTTTGAAAAATATTCATCTTTCCCATCTTGAGAAAGGTGTTACAGTCAAGCTAGCCACATCATTTTCATTTGCTATATTTGTTTTTGAGATGCTATAGGGAAATAAAAAGAATGACACTTATCCCCCTTTCCTACTGTAGTTTTGCGTGTAAAGTTAGGACAGGTCAGTTCATTGACTAAATACAGCTTGCTTAATTTATATACCCTTTTATCATCAGAACTTATTGCTATAAGTGTAATCCAAATAATTACAGGGAATGTTATACCATTTAAAAACTGTACACTTTAAAATCTTCTATCTCTATGAGAGAACCTGCAGAAACCTTGGAAGTGGTTGGAGAACCAGAAAGGAGTCAGCAGCAGTTGATTTAAAGATTCAAACCTCAGCTGACATTGCATTAAAGACCAGATGGGGACAGATGAAAAATGATACTGTAAGAACTTCTGTTTTGTGTTGTGGCAAAAGTTAAATCTGCTCTGACTGCAGCTTACCGACTCACTGAAAAATGATGAAATGACTGAAGGGTTTACCCTGTAGATGAGCCAGTCATTTTGTGTTTGTCAAAGTCGCTAATTTTAAAAGAGAGTTGACTACAAGAGTGACTCAGATGTGGATCTTCAGTGATTACTTTTAGATAAATACTGAATGTCATGTTCTAAATTTTAACAATCACCCTGGACATGTTGTAGGTCCATCACAGGGACACATAGAAACAACTGCTCCCTAAATAACATCCATGGAAAATAAATTAACTCTCCAAAAATTTAAATGGACTTTGAAATAAATGCTTTACAAAACACGTTTCAAAAGTCACCCCCCTCCCCAAAAAAATGTTGAGCCACGAGATTATATGATAATAATGAGCCTGTTCCAGAAGCAGCCATGACGTTACGTCCACCATGCTTCACAGATGAGCTTGTGTGCTTCGGATCATAAGCAGTTCCTTTCTTTTTCCACACTTAATTTCAATCCGTCCTTCTGATTCTTATTACTGGTGAGTGGTCTGCATCTTTGTGCATGGCCTCTTTATTTCTGCTCTCTGAGTTTTCCAACAGTGGATTTTGATACAGCACCTTCACTCCAGCTCTGTGGAGGTTGTTGCTGATGTCACTTACTGATGTTTTGGGGTTTTTTTTTTTCACAGCTCTCACAATATTTCTGTCATCAACTACTGTTGTTTTTTTCTTTGTCCGACCTGTTAGACGTGTACTTCTCAGTACACCAGTAGTTTCTTTCTTATTCAGGACATCCCATATTGTTGTTTCTTGCTGTGCAAAATGTTTTTCCAATAGCTCGGAGAGATTTTCCTTTTTTTTCAGCTTTTCTCCCATGGACAACTCTCTGGTAACATCTTGGTTTGTACCTACTTTATAGGTTTAGACCCAGACCAAAAAGTAGACTAGTTATGCAGAGYTATTTTATATTTGAACAATCAATCTTAAAGGCAACACCTGGTCAATAATAAACACCTGTCAGTCACAAGCTCCAAAAGTTTTGTTCACTTGAAAAATGGGTGGGTTCAAACAAAAGGTGGTATGTTCTGAGTTGTTTAACACATCTACATGCAAATACCGGGAATTAAGAGTTGACTTTCTGAACTCTTGTCTCATGCTCATCTTTTGAACGTAAACACAAATATCTTCAGTGTACAACAAAAACAAGGGATTTTGGCTTGCTGTTCCAATACCTTGGGTGGGACTGTAGCAAGAAAAAAATCATTTTTTATTACACAAACAGCAGAGCATTAGGGATAAGATAAAAGAACGAGTGGTGTGTAGGGTKGAGTGGGTCTTTTAGGAGATGCAGAAGATAAAGCATACAAACTCGCCTTTCTCAGCCACAAGATATCTTGCAAATGTATCTTTAGTATAGAAAACACGTTCACACATTGCTCATCTTCCTCTCTGCTACAGAACTGCTTGTGGTTTCTGAGATCCTGCACCAAACACAGGAGTATTTTCAATGTTAAATAAACTCAGTTAACCACTTTATTCTGTTTGTTGTTAGACTTTTATGTCCAAAAATTTCAATTTCTTATAAAACAGTAATTTTACAAATACTGAGCTAAATTCAGTAGCTRGAAGTATTAGCTCAGAGTCATCTTCAACGTCTTTTCTAAGCACTAAAACATCTACAGTATGTTGATGTCTGGAGTTTGTTCTCCAAMATTTAAGCTCCTTCCAAACACAAAGCAGGTGTCAGATTATCTGAAGCTTTTTGCAGACAAAATGAAGAACTTCAATCTATGCCATTGCAAACTCGACCCTGCTTTTTTCCTTCAAACTTTCACTCTGAATACTGGCCAGTTTAGCCAATTCCTGAACCCACCACCTGAACTCTGTCATTGAATGGTCCCCAGTTCTCCCACCCGATTTCTTTTCCTTGCACCGGTAAACACAGTACCTGAACTTGTCTCTTGTTTAGACATTAAGTCTGCTCTCTTGAACTTTGTCACCGCACCTAAATAAATGCAAACACCTATGACATGAGTTAATGTTGTTTTTAGTCTTTGGTCCCAGGCCTTATGCATTTTCTTTTTTTTTTCTTTTTTTTTCAAATATTCCTTTCATCCTGTTTTTTTGTTTCTTTTCTTCCCTCCTGCATCAGGATAGGTTTTTTAATATGCCTTGAGTCATCCCTTTGAGGAGAGGTTTTCAGTTTATTTTTAGGAGGATTTTAGTTGCTCTTTTTTTAGCTGTTATGTTGGTTTGTTTCAGGGGCAAGAATTAAACTATTTTATACGAAAAAATACTTACAATTTTTTTTATTAAGTTCACAGTTCTTAACRTTATGTAATGTAAATAAACAAGAGTTCAAAATGTCTTATATGGTCTTTTTAATAGTAAATATTTTGTAACCAGAGTTCTGGAATGTAGCAAGCTTCTGCCAGTCACTATCAAAATGCATAAACATGGTTATCAGTTCCTCAGAAAGCAGATTACCATTATGACAATCTACTATT